TACTGGGTGAAGATATAGGTTTGCTAAATGTATACATCGATATTCTAGATATAGATTGACCATTATCTGCCAGTTTTCATCTCTCATCATTGACTTTTAACTGATGATCCTGATTGGGCGTCTGCACCAATTAAACAGTCTGACATATCCGAGGACAGATAGAGGATGAGAGAAATGTGAGTGACTGGGTGGCAGAACAGATTAGGTGAATTTATCTGAGAAGGATGCACAAGATGACAGAGAGACATTAAAGAAAGTTGAAACTTTAGAAGTGGGAAAAGATAAACAAAATAGCAGGAAAAGGGGGATGAGTGAGAAGAAGGACGGAGAGAAATAAATAAAGAAGCTTGGCAGATTACTGCCATATCCTCATGTAGATAGTCATAGAGCCTCCTGGACTTTGCTTGCAGCCGCCAGCATGTCCTTATGCCTTCATTAGCCAGCTTACATGCATGCATGGTATGATGTACAAGAACATCTGTTTATGCGAATGCAACAAGCCCGGATGAAGATGTAGTTCATTCTGTGAGCATCGTTTTTGACACGCCAAGTTAGACAGACAGAAAATCGGAGAAAGAGGCTGTTAGGTGAAAGATAGAATAAAGAAAGGAGGAGTGAAGAAGGCTGAGCTGCCTGTGGCCTTGTGTGCTGGACAGAAGATGATGGACGATTGATCGTATTGGTTTATTCCAACAGCTTTTCCCCCTGGAGCACAACGCCACTTGTGGGGGGGGGCGGTTGAGGGCGTTGAAAGGTGGAGGTGATTTACTGGGGTTTGTGAGATGATGTATGGAGAAAAGAGGAGAAAGGAAGGCACTGCTGTATGATGAGGGTGGACCAAAATTTTGCAGTGCAAGTAAAAATGTTTCATATCTTTGTCTCTAATTCAAGTTTCCCAAATGTGGTGGTTCACTGCTTCTTCTCTTTTTCCTGTCAGTGGATATAATATAGAAAAGTTACACCTCGAGGTATTTCACAGTTGGTTGGATAAAATTTTAAGACGACACCTTGAGCTCAGGAAACTGATGGAGTTACTATCTTTCTTCTTTTTTACTATATTTTTCTGACATTATCTTATTCAATTTAAGAAACTTTATAGAGAAAAAATTATGAAACAGTTTGAACTTATTGAGTAATATTTATCTTGATTAATGTGTAATTGATTTGTTTTGTTATTTGTGAAAAATAAATGCATGTTGTCTGTATTGATATGTTGCTTTTCTAGTCGTGATGTCCACTCAACCGTACAGTTTGTCCATTCAAACACATTAATACAGTGCATCTTTGTTCAGCATCTGGCCCTATAGCACTTGGCACACGGAATGGGGAGACTGGGATCAAACCGCCGATCCTGTGGTTAGTGGACAACCCGCTCTAACTCTTGAGCCACAACCAGATATCATAAAAAGGGATGGCCATCTGTATTTATGTTATGTGTAGGTGATAGAAGATTTCTCTTCTTCCTGCTTGTTTATTTATGCAATGCTTCTCAATGAACAGGTGTATTGTTTTATTTTGTGAAATTATTTTTGGATTACACTGAAATTAATGAAATAAACTAAAAATTAAACATCATCTGGACAATTAACTAATACAATCTGAGGGGAAAACAGTCAATATAATTGATAATAATAATACTATAATGTTCCTAATCAGGACATCTTCATGCATTATTACTCACTAAGTGTGTCATGGTTGCACACCGTGTGTTTCACAGAGGTTGCACGTGTGTATGATCTCTGCAGAATCCAGGACACTGGGGTTAAACAGGCCACAGGAAGCACTTTGTGGTCAATTCAATTCTCTGTAAGCTACTCAATGCATACAAATAACATTCAGAGAATATGGTGAGTATGTCTGTAAACCTCCGCCCTCGTGGCAAGAAGAGCAGCAGATGCGCTTTTACACTTGAACCCTTTGAAGTCCTGTGTGCACATAGGCACTCGCACAACACACGATCAAACACACTCACACATACACAAACCACACAGACTGAAACAAGTAAAAGCTTGACTTGAAAAGGTGATCATGCTTTAACCGCAATTTTCATCTGAGACGTCACAGATGCATTTCCCGAAAATGGGAGGGCGCAGAAACCGTGAGCAAGTGGTGGCCTTGAGTCAGGCATCAACTGTGAGCGTGAATGTGTTGATCAATGTGCCGAGCGGGGTTTCAGAACATATCAGTAGTGAGGCTTTGGTGAAGCTAACAAACTGGTACAAACACTTATATCTCCCCCAGCACAACACATGCATGGCTCATTAATGTGGAGTGCATATGTGCCGCGACTCAATCACCAGTATTTCCTGCGTTTCCATCAGCGAGAGGGTTTGATTCGGCCTCTGAGACATGCAGGGCAGTGCTCATATGTCTAAAGTGGCTGAGGGCGGACTGAAGATGTTGATTTGAACTGCAGGGGGCGCTCAAGGCTTCTCTGACTCAAACAGCTCTACCATCCCCATTAGCTCCAGCTGTTCGCCAACACCTCTGGCTGAAGTTGCTCCCTCAGTCCGAACAACACACACAGACACACACACACACACACAAAACTGCTAGACATGAATATAGACACACAAGATGTATGCATGTGCTGCACGTACACACTGAAACTCAAATGATAGAATATACATGTGTTTACAGTTGAAAACCCTAATGTCTCCAGATCAGGGCGTACACAAAGCCAACACACTACCCATGCAAACACACACACACACACACACACACCTACAAGACCTCATGTCACTATGTCCCTTGGAGAAATTTGACATTGTTTATTTCTTTCACTTCTACTGAGTACAAACATAAGAGAAACACTAGTCTAGATAGAGAAGATGTTTAGCTAAGCTTATCATAAACTGGACACATGGGGGAAGAGCTGTAATGGCTTGTCTTAAAAATAATTTATTATTATGGGCTAAGCCAAGACAACTGGCTGCTGGCTGAAGCCCTCCACACTGAATGCACAGATGCAAGAGCGCTCATGTGACCCTCACTGAGAAATGCATGGACATTTGTACTTAAATGACTACGGAGCTAAAGTCTTGTTCATCAGCGGAGATGATTGCATTTCCGCTAACAGCATAAAAACCTCTTTAAAAAACAACTGGAATTTACAAACATTTACGTTATCTGGTGTGTTCTGCTTGGCCGAGGAACAGCTGATATTTCTTAGATAATGGGTTGAGGAAGACATGGACAGCATACACATACACACACACACACACACACACACACACAAACACGCACACACAAATACAAATGCCAACTTTGTGTCTTATGTTGCCATACACAATTAAAGAACTGGGAAACAGATATTCATTGTGCTTAGCTGCATTTTAGAAGACAGGTCTGTGCAAGTGTGTGTTTGTGTGTGTGTGTGTGTGTGTGTGTGTGTGTGTGTGTGTGTGTGTGTGTGTGTTTGTAAAGTTTAAACCCAAAACAGAGACAGAGAACGATGGTTATCTACATGAACTTCAAACACATGAACTGAGTGGGCACCTGATTCTGCAAATCCCTCACGCACACCAGAACAAGAGATGGAATAAATGAGAGGAGAACAGACGGCATGAAGTAGGCCTACATACTGATGAAATATAATTAAGGCTACTCTCATTAGCTTTGCGCGCACACACACAAACACACAGGACACAAATCCCCTGACTCCAGTTAAAATCAGTCTGGAATGTCATGTTTCCTGTTTATCTGCCTACCAGCCAGACTCCTATTGTGAGGAATCCTGAGTTTGACCATGGAGGTAGTTTAGCAAACAGTGGAACAAACTGCTCTGTTGACAGGTGGATCCAGAACTACAGAAGACTGAGCTCTATCCATCTAAAGCCTCAGGAGTTTATGATTCAAAACACAAGCACGTCTATGGTGAAAGCACAAATGCATGTGCGGTGCTGCAGCGCTGCTCGGTCCATTGATCACCGAGCGTTCACAGCATTAAACGTGCCCACTGAACATGTAACAGTCTAACACACCATCGTCATGCCACCGATGCATGCCACTTTCTGCTTCAATACATGGGGACGCACGTGCAGCATGTTTTCCCATGCTGCCCTGCACTATCGCTCTTTGAAGTAAAGGCAGCACCCAAGGGAGAGGGAGAAGATCTGGGGCCATTAAGCTTCACACGGCGCTGCACAGGAGGAGATCTTTGATGCCATTTCTGATCCATGGTCAAGACGCCAGATCTTCACTGAAGCAAACAGAGGGTTTTTAAAATCCTCTGATGCTCGGCTGAAACACACAGAGGAAAGACAAGAGCAGGCCTGTGTGTGGGCACGGAGGGGAGAAACATTTTTGTGTGTGTTACCCTGTAGGAGAAAGTGACGTGTCATCACCAACTGCTCGTGACTTCACAGCAATATTGCAACATGAAACGTTGGAGGAAATTGGCCAACTTCCTGTCTTGCCGTGTTTGGAAGCCAATTGCACACGGATGAAGCTACATGTTCAGAAAGTCATGTCTGTGCAGGCCTTCACTGTGGAGACGAGCAGCAACTGGAGATCAATATAAGACCTCATAAGCCTAAAGGCAGAACCCATAAAAGGGCAGGGGATGAGTTATTGATTAGACACTGGTGGTGTAACAGGTCTTTTTGGTTGGACGTAATCAGTGATTAGTTGTGATATTTCTATCGAGGGCTTTGTGCATGTACACACCTGACATTTTGTCAGATGGGTGGAGGCGGTGGGGTTAATTGGACAGAGGTATTCAACTGTGAGCGACAGAGGGAAGAGGGAGGAAGAGTGAATGCATTTTTTCACTCTAATCAAAGACAGCAGGTGGCTTCAGTTATTAGTTCCTCCTCCTCCTCCTCCTCCTCCTCCTCCTCCTCTCTGGTTAATGAAGTGCTAATATGTGACACGCCTGCTGGAGTCTGGCTGGAACAAAACCTTCCCTGCTCATATGTCTATATACACTTATTTATGGGTTTATGTGTGTATATAGCAAAAATGGTCGAAGGGTTCTAGGATTAATACGTCCACCAGGTTATGTTTTCAACCCTGTCCGTTTGTTTGTGAACAAAATCACAATAACTACTGAATGGATTACAAAACTGGATGTGGAATAGGTTCTTAAACATTGTGGAAGTATTTTTCAACATTTTCACCATTTTCCCAGGGAATAATTCATGGATCTTGAAAAACATGATGAAAAAAACAGGTTCAACTTGATTGACTTTAAGGGGACTGTTAGGCCTTGGTGCTCAACTATTCTAGTTCCAGTATGTTCAGGATAGGTCCCTATCATCATATCAATGTATCATCACATTCATTCCACAACAGCATCATTGTGTGAGGTGAGATGAGGTGACAGACAATTCTCATACTTGGCACAGGTGGAGAGAGTCAGTGTGTGTGTTTGTGTGTGTATGATCCAGGTATTATTCATTGTGGGGACCTAAATTTGTTTAAACATTTACATTATGGGGACTTGTCTTCCTCATGGGGACATAAATCATGTCCACATATGGTTAAATGTTTTTTATGGTTAGGATTAGTTTAGGGTTAGGTTGAGTTTAGGTTTAGGTTATAATTGAGGTGTGTGTGTGTGTATGTATGTGTGTGGGGGGGGTCACATGATCTGGTAGTGATATGATTTTGACCCATTGCATCATCATTAGCATGTTTTAACCATATTCTACCACATTTAGTAGTTCTGATATAAGTAGAAGAATTTGGATTTTTGAGCTCTACTCTGCAGTTCCCACAGTTTGCATTCATTTAAACCTGACATTTAAAGTCTTTTCATCTTTCCAAGCTTGATATCATGTTTTCTTCTCCCTCAGGGGAACTGTGGCCTACCTTGATCAGACTGCTGCGTCGAGGGATCGCTTTGGATGCTGAGTCTGAGCCCGCGCTCTCCCACGTCGGGGACTCGCAGCTGGATTGCTTCTGGACCCTCCTCACCGGGTCCGAGGTAGCGCTGCAGTTCCCGTTGGACACCGGCTCCCCCCGGTCCACCAGATTCGCTCCGGCTCCTCCTGACGCAGCTTTCCAGTCCGCAACCGGTGAACCGACGGCGCATTGCTTCTTGTCCCTGAATTCAGCCATGGTGGGTGTTGACAGCACAGCCGGATCTCTTAGTTGATGTGACGGCAGCCTGGCTCCTGATGCCACGGAGCTGCTGCACACCGCGGACACACGCGTGCCATGGCGCGGAGTGAGCGATCTGAGACTGTGCGCCAAGAGCCGTGGAAACTTCTCTCTCTCTCTCTCTCTCTCTCTGTCTCTCTCTCTCTCACCCCCCTCTCCCCCCTCTCTTCTCTCCTCCCTGCACACACACACACACTGAGGGGGGCGGGTGACAGGAGAGGACTGACACCTTCCAGACCTCCGTCGTCAACACTCCCATAGAAAGCTGGACGTGCGCCCTGTTGCGTTCAGGGTGGAAATTCAGATGAAGTCCTCTGCACACGCTGCGGCCACAGAATCACACAAACCGTAACGATGATGATTATGAACGTACATTTTCTCCCACATCCTGCTGTCGACACTCGCTCCCAGACTTTTCCTCCAGCGCCACGAGGTCTGTGAGCGCAGAGACAGCCGGGTGATAAAGTCATCATCTGTCACCATGATGTCCTCTGCAACAAAATTTAGATTGTTATACCATTTTGTAGTAAGGGACCATTACTATTCATTAGGCCTATTCATTGAATGCTTTTACTAACAAGAGCAATTTGACTCACTGAATGCATGTAAATTCATTAAAGGGGTACTTCAAAAATATGAAAATTCACTGATTATCTATTAGCCACTATGCCGATGGAGGGGTGGGTCAAGTATTTGAGTCCACACACCTCTTTTGGAGTTTCAGGGGTAAACAATGTTGAAGCCAAATCCAATACAATTGAAGTCAAAGGTGACCACTTCTTTAAACGTAAAATGGCAGGCCTCCATACTGCTCCTGTGGTGTCATCCAAGTGTCTGTAAGCCCCAACATTCAAATTCGACTTGAAACATTGTCTCTTATACCATGGGTGGTAACTTGTTCCATTTCAAAATATACGATCCAGCATAGGGGGCTCACTGTCATCTTGACCTATTGCCTGTCGTTTTGACCAAGCAAAGCCGTCCTGAGATGTGGAAGTGTTTTGGCTTCTACACCTTAGATGGCAAAGTTCTCGATCGAAGGTGAGGCTGTTTGTTTACTTTGTACTGGCAACTATCTAATTTCCCATCTGTGAGCTCACCTGTTACATTCAAGTTAAGCAGCAGAGGAGGCACCACCGACAAGCACAGCAACATCAAGTGTTCATCCTTGACTTGTGTACTTCAAAAAAGCTTAGAAATTATAAATTCTTAAAGTTTTGACCACATAAGAGATTGTCAACTTGTGATATTTATAGGGTATTTTGCTAGTCAGACTTACACTCCCTTTCATTCCTACAATGTACCATCCACAGTCTTTCTAAAATGCAATAGAAGGCAAGGTCACACATTTTGCTCGAGGATTCAGGGACAAATTATTGTGATGCATCGCTCAGGGATAAATGCCAAGATTCCTTGCTCAAGGGTAAATGCCAAATAAAAGGAATTAGTTCCCCTTTTTTTCAGTTGCAGTGTCTTCAGCGGCTCTGCAACAAGACAGGACAAGCAGCATGGTTTAAATAGTTGAAAAGACTTTGCTTGTTGACACAGTTATTCCAGTATACTTACACAAATCAAGGTCGGTGCAAAAGTCAGTGACACAAAATGGATGAGCTGTGATATTTACACTGATCACCAATTTGTTTGGTCCATTTTCAGTGTAGTTCCTCCACAATAAAACACAGTGTCATATGGAGTATGACACGTGAAACACGTTGCACACCTTGCTCATAAACCTGAATTTTCTCTCATTAGGTTTTGGAAGATACAGTACGTCTCTGTCTTGCTCCTCTTGGCATGGAACCTTCAGTTTTGATTTTCATTAGAAGTCAAGTCTCTACTCCTGGCATCTGGCACGAGCTCCACACTCGGTCTCAATCACATTATCAGCAGCTCTACAAGAACCCGGTCTTCTCTCCGTTCATTGCCAGATTGTTCAGTCACCTCAGTGGTATTTACAGGTGTATGATACGTTATCAAGACTTTTACAGCCCTAAATCAGAGCAGAAATTGAATTAGAATTGTTTTTCATTGACAAATGAGGTCCGACAATTAGATGCAAATATCACAAATAAATGACTCAGTGGTCAAGATAAATTGGCAAAGTTTATGTTCATCAAAATGGAGACATTTATTTCCCATAAGAAATATTTATAGCTACACAAACATGCACGAAAACATTTTTCTATCTAGATCTTTTTTTCAGCTCTTACTGAGGTATCATCCCCGGTCAACTATTCACTCTCACCTTTAAAGTGTTAAATTAATCTATAGATCTCTCACCTTTCTTTGTTTTCAGACTTTATTTCATATTAAGGTGTAATTAACACAAAGAAAGTCTTTTAATATTTGTTGGTCACCCACCACTCATATACTCTTCACTTCTGTCAAAGGATGAGATACGTGTGGAAAATACTGGTGTGTCTTTGCTGCTATCTAGTGTTTATGTTGAGAACACATTGCTGCTGGAACTGTGTCTCAATTCTGTGATTTGCATTGAGAAAATAGATTCAGATTTTAATTTTAACAGTGGTGGAGGAAGTATTAAGTAAAGGATGCTGCAGTAAATATTTTCAGGCTCTTCCGAATCCATTTTAGGAAAAATATACTGTTCAGCCAAGTAACATAAACACACAAATGGACATCACACATGGATATCGACTATATGTTGACTATTAAATATCAAGTTATAAATCTTTATAATAGCCCACCACCCACTGTGAAAAAAATAGAACCTGTGATGGAAATCTGAAAATACAATAGGCTGGATTACCAAATTTGCCTTTGTGTATTTTATTAAGGGCTCTCTGCAGAAAGAATCAACACAGAGAGTCACAGGGATCTCAGAGTGTTGATGGAGCTAGACTGTTTGTCTGAGCCAGTTCAGACTGGTTCTGTAGGTGCAGTTTGAGACAGGAATTGAAACAGGAAACTTATTTGAATAAGTTTCCTTCAAAAATAAGTAATAGAAAGGTCATAAAGGTAATAGAAAAGTCATTGATTTTTCAGGTCTCAAATAATGAAGGTAATAAAAGTTATTTTTCAACTACAAACCATAAATAAACCTGTGGAGTAAAGTGCATCATAGTGCAAACACACAATACCACATGGTTTAATCATGCACTGCAACCAAGTACTAGAACTAGAGTCAGTTTTTTACAGTTTTAAACTAAATTATATCAATAGTACTTTAGTACTAAAAGAATGTCTTGAATAAGACTTTTGCATCTTACTTTTACATGCAAACACAAAGGCCTCCCTTTGGCATATAGAAAGATTTGAGAATCAGCTGTATCTCAGTCATCCAGCTGGCAGAGGCATGCCACACCGCGGTTAATCCAATGTTTCTCTGGCTTGTCAGAGGGCAGCTCGATGGACATGACGTAGTTGGTAGAGTGGCCTGTGGTGGACAAGGTCCCTCTGCGAGCGCTGGTTTTGTACACGGGACAAACATAGTTGCCCTCATGTTGGAACTTGGCCATCTCACCGGGTTTAAGCTTGATGATGGGTAAAGAGTCAAAGAGGATCTTGGGGAGGGACTCTCCAATGACCATGTTCTCCCTGTCCCAGCGCGCACCCTCCATGAAGAGGCCCTTAACATAGGCTCCATCCTCTGGCTTCTCGTCCATGTGGGTCTCCTCTTTGGTTACCTGGGAAACGATGCAGAGTATTAGTCAAAAAATTCCTATGATTGGGAAAGTATTGAGGAGAGTAGAAATTTCATACCTCAAATTCAAAGCCAATGTAGTCTATGGGGATGGTGTACTTCCTGGCAAAATTCTGAGCCACTCCAGTTAGAAATGACTGCGGGAAGTAAAAACCAGAAAGCCAGAAGACCGTAGGTGGGCCGTTATCTATCCAGTCCTGTTGAAACACATTCAAGCACATCTATTGTTATGAGCATTTTGAAAACAAGCAATGTCATTCATGGTCTAGACTTTAGGTGCTGCACCACCTAAATTTATAAAATTATCTAGTGCTATAATTAGAGAGGAATTTGTTCTTATACATGAAGATAATGAGGCTTGAATTTGGACTTTAACTACTTAGTATGTGTTTCGTCGATCTTTCCAGTCAGATTCTAAATATGTTCCCTTCATTCAAGGTCTGTGTGACCTGAAAGAACCATAATTCTTACTTGTAGGAACTGCAGTCTGGCTAAAAGATCGGCCACGTAGCTCCCCATTGGCTTGAGAGAGGGGTATGACTTGGCTGCCCATGCGACGGGCACCTTGCCCACCAGCATGCTGTTAAAGATGTTCTCGAGCTCGGCAGACATAACAATCTGGCCCTTCATAGCTTTCTGGATGTTCACCAGGCTGACCCGCACCACATGTGTGAGTCTGACAGGAAGAGAGAGTGATTCAGAAACAGGAGTATCCAGACACACAGAACATTTGAATTATGCAAGCTGAATTGTTGATTACATAGCAACACACGTACCTGTTGAAGCGGATTACTTCCTGCCTCAAAACTGTATTCATAGACTCCTCATACACGACAGGGTATTTATCTATCACCATCTCTATGTCAAAGTCAGCTGGCAGCTTCGACAGTATGTCCTCTGCAAGCTCATCCACAACCTCCTACAATATGAACAGAAGACAGATGAAGGTAGTGTATCAGACAAAATCTGTGACCTTGTATATTTCCTCTGGGAAATAAGCCAAAAATGTCTGTCTGCTTGCAGTGCAAACCTGAGGAGACTTAGCCCCGCCTCCCATCTGCCTGGGCAGAGTTAACAGAACTCCCTCCAGAAGCTGATTGGTCTCTTGATTATCCTTCGTGATGTCAGCATTGCTGTGAAGTCCAAACACGCAAGGATCGGCACAAATTGGCAGTCTGCGAATGTAGTCCACGTATGTCTGGAATAAAGAATTACATTAGATAAAATTAATTTCTTTATCAGCCAGGATGTTTATAGGATTACTTAATTTATAACGCTGGTCTTCAACAGTGGG